ATAGTTTGGTAAGCAAATTTAAAATGTTTTCTTACACTAAATTTGAAAGCAGGAAGGGGGGGGGGTTAAGGGAAGACAAGTTGTGGCCCCAGGACCACATATGGCCAGCAAGGATGTTATTGTGATGCCTGCTTGTACACACACACACACACACACACACACACAAATAAATGAATTGCTTCTAATGCAAGGCTCCAGGAATGACAGTTCACCTTTTAAATAGGTTGTAAGTTCCCTTGCACTGCTGAACATTTAAAAACAAACAAAACAAAACAACAAATTAGAAGTAGATTTCTGGTTCCCTTCCTTCCTTCCTTCCTTCCTTCCTTCTTATTCTGGGCAGTCAGTATGTATCCTAGAGAATCTCAGGGATATAAAACTGGTCCTCAAACTGCTCAAGTTGCTCACCCCTGCAGTCGATTGTAAGAGGTGATTGAAGCATTGTCAGCCTAGGGTGACACATGCCTTGATTATACCCTATTTGAATTACTGTAGTGCACTGTATGTGAGACTGCCTTTGGAAATGGTCCAGAAACTTCAGCAGATCCAGATTCTGTGGCCAGACTGCTGATGGGGTCTACTTACACAGAGTACTTAACTCCCTTGTTAAAACAGCTTCACTGGCTACCGGTTCATTTCTGGTCAGAATTCAAAGTGCTGGTTATGACATTTAAAGCTCTCTTCCAATATGAGCCTTTCTCTCTGTCCGATCACTGTCACTGTTTGGGGAGAACACTGGAGAGAGAGCCTTCTCTGTAGCTGCTCACAGGCTGAGGAACTCCCATCTGTGGGAGGTTTATTGGCTCCCTCTCTGTCTTTTTCCAATAGCTGGCAAAGATGTTTTTATTTAGGCAGGCACTTGGTTCATGTCAGAAGTGTCTTTGAATTGAGTGTGCTGTGCTTTACCTTTTTTAGAATTATGTTTTAAATGTGCGCTTCAAACTGTGTTCACTTCATGCTTTTAACAGAACTGTTTAATTATTTTTTTAACTTTTGTACAATAACATTTTAAATGTACTTTGTTTTAACCTGATGTAAGCTTCCTTGGTCCCATGCTGAGAAAAAGGTGGGATATATACTGTCTTAGACAAACACACAAATAAATAAGCAATTAAACGTGGTGTTTGATTATTAAACACTATGACTACGACTATGCCTCTGGAGACTAGGATTTTAATCCCTGCTCAGCTGCAAAAACCCACTGGCTCACCTTGGGCAAGTCACAGACTCTCAGCCTTAGAGGAAGGCAGAGGCAAACACTCTTTGAACAAATCTTGCTGGGAAACCCCTGTGATAGGGTTCTTCTTAGGGGCACCCTAGTTTGGAAAAGACTTGAAGGCACACAATAACAAAAAATAATGGTGTTGAGATTTACACTGAGAACTTGTGTAATGAAAATAAGTGTGGACCTTTAAAGCTCTTCCAGCTTATTTCATAGTTGCCCAGTGATCACTTTGGGAGAAGAAAAGTATGGGGATGACCCAGTTGTTTCAAGAGCATAAAAGGACACAAAGGAGCAGAGAGGAAGGCAGGGTCATGGGAAAGCACTATCGTTCAAGCTTGTGAGGTTGATAGGAAAGGAAGGAGGTTAGCACAAAAACTCCAAAATGTGGAAGGATGGGCCTCAGCTTTAGATTAGTTAATCCTTTGACTGGTGGTCCTGTGCAGCCCTGTGAAGGCTCCCCATGAATGCAGTTCTCTTGCATAGTGCTATCAAAGAATATAGGGAGGCCTGTCTTAGTGTTGCAGTCAGAACAGAGCTTACTCTGTGAGGAGCAACAGGTTTTCTTTTTATCCCTCTAACTCAGGGGTAGCAACCTGTCCCCTTTAAGGGCCAAGGGACTTCAGCTCCCAGAATCCCAGACTATTAGCCAACACCCCAGACTATTGGCCAACATGGCTGAGGCTTCTGGGAGCTGAAGTCCCTCGGCCCTTAAAGGGGACAGTTTGCCTACCCCTGCCTAACTGGTGACAGGACAAGGTTTCATACTAGGCCTCAGTTTAGAAAATAGAAATCTCTGGAAAACTAACCCTTGCACACCTAATGATGCTGAAGCTGCAGAACTTGTTCCCAGTTCCTTATTTACATAACCCTTTGAAACAGAGCTCAGTCAGTAAATGTTATATATTGCTAGACTTCAGTCTAAACTTAAAACTACTCCTTATATATTTCCATGATTGGGAGTTCACGGCTTCAAGATAATCAGTACTTTTCTCCTAGCAACACTATCTCAGTAATGCCTGATGAATCCAGATAACAATTACTAATAAAGAACTGTGTATCCTGCAGTGAGCCTGAAAGCTTTCAGTTCCCTCATGGCACAGTGAGGTATGGCAATGCATGCGGGTAACAGCCAAAGTGTATTGAAAAAGAATTTTAAAAATCATGTATTTGCACCTCACAGTGAACTTTGCCCCAACTAATTATACATCAAATATCCAAGATAGTGTGCATACAGAAACTTTGTCCCAGACTGTACTCATTATTATGTTACTGAGGACACTATCTTGGGTGCAGCAGTTTTCAAAGAATGTAAATAATAATTAAAAAAAAAGAAGTGGGGAGGAGACTCTTGTTGCATGTTTAAGAAAAACAGATTTATTTTTGCATAAACGTTCATGGATTATAATCCACTTCCTCATATGAAAGATGAGAGCACATAGTATGCTAACTTTAGGTATATATGAAAAGTTTTCTAGTTGTGAGGTTGGGTCAGGGTGAAAATGGTAGCATATGTAGCAAGTGAACTACAACTCCACAAGGAAGTTGCTGTGAAGGAAAGCTTGAAATATTCTGCTACAAAATTGGGAGTCCTGAGAGATGTTATCATCTAGTCTACCACAGAGCTCAGTCTTTTCTCTTTGCAGCTGTGGTTGCTCACAGTGAGAAGCTTTGGAGGAAACTGGCCATTACTTTTGTTGACCTTTTAGGATTTATAAGAGAGACTATATCTGTGTAGACTGTCATTGAATTGACACTTCAGCATGGAAAAATAACACAGTGGGTTTAGATTCCAGCCTTAGGTCATTTTCTCTCTAGACCTCACAACATCAATTGTAACTGTCATCAGCTGGGCCCATTTAATGAGATATTGATTACTTTAATAGCTGTGCACTGAAGAATAGAAATGTCAATACTATTGATTGCTCATCTATAAATGTAGTTGTTCTATAACTGTGCAGTACATATAGTTCAGAGCAAACAATCATATTTTCTCTTCCTTTTTTCATATGTGCAGTTTTAGATTGCAAGCAAGATCGGGTACTTCACCTTGCTTCATGTCTTGCTTAGATGCTCTATGAACAGTATTTAAGAATTTGAGCACAAAGTGGCAGTTATTTAAAGATTTGATCTTTAAAAAGTTGCTTTTTTGGCCTAATGGTCCCAGATTCCCCTACTTCCTCATACCTTTCAGAGTTGTAGTCTGAATAAATAATGCTTTTCAAGTGCTGCTGGACAAGATAGACTTGCAGTTCAATTCACTACTTAGTAATCAAAATAATATGACAGCAGCATGGTCTGTAGCCAAAATTAAAGTGGTTTTCAGTCACTTTAGATCAGGGGTAGGCAACCTTTCCCCTTTAAGGGCCGAGGGACTTCAGCTCCCAGAAGCCTCAGCCATGTTGGCCAATAGCCCCATGTTGGCCAATAGCTCCTGGGATTCTGGGAGCTGAAGTCCTTCGGCCCTTAAAGGAGAAAGGTTGCCTACCCCTGCTTTAGACTAATCTGTAGAGATATATAATCTTGAATGTTAACTATATTTGCTGAGGTTGCATCTTCTACACTGCAGAATTAATGCAGTACTTTAACTGCCATGGGTCAATGCTATGGAATTCTGGGATTTATAGTTTTGTGAGATATTTAGCCTTCTTTGTTAGAGCGCTCTGGTGCCACAACAAATTACAAATCCCAGGAGTCCATAGGATGGAGCCATGAAAGTTAAAGCAGTGTCAAACTGCATTAATTCTGCAGTATGGCAGCAGCCTGAGTTAGCTATACACTAATTTTGCCATTTAGAAAGGAGATGAACCAAGTGAGATATGTAACAAACATGTACAAGGTGGTGAACAACATGGAGAAAATCATCAGACTAGATATCTAATAGCAGCAGCACAGTTCTGTTAGAATAGGTTGCAAGTTTAAAAATAAGCTCTTCAAATCGTTCTGAGTTAATTTGAACATGCTGTCATGGGATGAAAACCTATTCCCTCTGTCTTTGTGGGACAGGGTACAGTGAGGACATCAGCATAATCCTACCTTTCCCCGCTATTGCAAGTCTGAGATGGGAATGCCACAATTGGGACAAGTGTATTGCAGAAAAACAGGCTATTCATGGCTTGCCAAAGCCTGTCCCAGTGGCATACCCAGCTTAGAAACAGGGTGACATTGTCTTAGAGGAGCTACACATTGAAGAAATGGGATCATAATATAGTAGCATTCCAGTCTTAAAATCTTGTTGTTGTTATTGTTGTCGTGGAGCATCTGTTAGCTATTGCCTTAAGTTTTTGTAAAAGAAATACTGTACCTTCAGATATCTCAACTGTCTATGGTGTTGATTGATTAACAAAAGTTAAGAGAATAACTTGTATCTTATATGAAAGTAACAAAAACAAACTGACCTTGTATAGCACAATTAAAATTTGCTTTGGGCATTGCCGGGGATAAACAAACCGTTCTGCTTAATATGGATATCCTGTGGAAATTATTTTTGTAATGCATTAAAAGAATAAATAGAACAGAAGATGAAAGGAGACAGATAAGCAGAAAACCATTTAGAAGATGGCATAAACAATGAGTGTTTTCTGTAGTCAACAAATCAGTTTCTGATTAGTTTGTTTTTTGTTGTTGTGTGACTTCAAGTTGTTTCCGATTTATGATGACCCTAAGACAAACCTATTACAGGGTTTTCTTGGCAAGATTTGTTCAGAGGGGGGTTGCCTTTGCTTTCCTCAGAGACAGAATGAGTGTGACTTGCCTAAGGTCACCCAATGGGTTTCCATGGCTGAGCTGGGATTTGAACCCTGGCCTTCAGAGTTGTAATACAACACTCAAACCACTGCATCATGCTGGCTCCACATGCAGTTCAGCGTAGTGCTTTTTAATTCATAGAATCATAGAATTGTAAGAGACCACAAGTGCAATCCAGTCCAACCCCCTGCCATGCAGGAATACACAATAAAAGCACCCCTGACAGATTGCCATCCAGCCTCTGTTTAAAAACTTCCAAAGAAGGCAACAAATTCCATTGTCAAACAGTTCCCACAATCAGGACATTTTCCCTTATGTTTAGGTGGAATCTCTTTTCCTGTAGTTTTCTCCGTGTCTCTGGAGCAGCAGAAAACAAGCTTCTTCCATCCTCAGTATGGCATCCGTTCAAATATTTAAACAGGGCTATAATGTCACCACTTAACTTTTCTTCTCCAGACTGAACGTACCTAGGTCCCTAAACCATTCCTCATAGTCTGTGTGGTGTAGTAGCCTAAGTGTTGGACTACAACCCTGGAGATCAGGATTTAATTCCCTGCTCAGCCATGGAAATCCACTGGTTGATCTTGGATGAAAGTCACATGCTCTCAGCCAAGGAAAACCCCATGATAGATCTGTGTTAGGGTCTCCAGAACTTGGAAATGACTTGAAGGCAACAGCAACAACAAATTCTAGAGGGTAGTGTGCATATGTTTTACAACAATAGCTAAATGACTTCCAGAGTTCCTGGATACAAACTCCAGAAAAAGGCAGACATGGACAGAAGTACAGTAGATTACTTAAATTCAAGTTGTTGTGCTTACACACTTTAAAGATGTTAACTTATTAATTGTTCTGTCATACCACAAGGAGAATGGGTAAAATTCCAGACATCTGGTTGCCATGTGCCTAGACAGTCTGTGCTGATGTCTAGGAATTTTAAATATTTAGCTCCATGTATACATCCTGTTTTGAGACAGGGCATGATAATATGCCTGACAGCTTAAAATTTACTATTGGTTCATAAAAAAATTCCTTCCTCAAATTCTGCCATTTCTTCTGTGTAAGACACTTCTGGATCAATTTCAGTCATGTTTTTGAGTAGAATATAGCATTGAAACTGCTTGGGTCATCTTGATAGATGATGTGCATTGGAGATTGTGTGTTATGACCCTAGTCTTCTGTTTTGGTAAATTTCAAGACCACCTGGCTGGGTTTGGCATTCTGTTGCAATAGTTTCAATATTTCTTTGTCAGATCAGGTCCTAGGGGATTACTTTATGACATGGTTTTAGGTATACATTGTGCCATTGGGTTCTGTCATGTTTGATATCTATAGGGAGTTGCTGGAAAGGTCTTGTGAAACTTTGAAATGAAGTATCCTCAGTTTTTCTGTTTATACCAAATTGCTCCTTGTCACCTAACAAGGGAACCAACCCCTTGAACACTGTCCTTTTTGCTAACAGGTTGGCTAAATGTGGATAAGCTGAAATTAAACTTGACAGATGAAAATTCTGGTGGCATGGATGATTCGAATTTGTCCTGTTCTGGAAGTTTTTGTGCTCTCTGCCTGTACTGTTTGTAGTCTGGGAGTGCTCCTCTTCACTGCCTATGAACTCTCAGGAAACAGCAGAGTGCACCAGTCTACTTGGTTTGGCAATAGTCACCCATCCTTTTGGTTACATCACATCTTGACTACTGCAATGAACACTACATGGCATCACCCTTGAAGAATGTAACATATGGCACTGACTGGTGCACATAATCTGCTGTCTGGTGCATAGTATGGAGACCATTTTGCTCCAATACTGAAGGACCTACACTGGTTGCTTCTTGCTTTCTGGGCTCAAGTCAAGGTATTGGCTTTAACTTTAAAGGCCCAAATGACTGGGGAGCTGGCTATCTACTCAGTGATTGCCTCTCTCATTATGAACCTGTCTGGATGTTAATATCTTTAGAAAAAGCCTGCTTCAGATTACCATTGACTTATAGAGGCTCTCTTCCCAGGCATGTGGGAGAGTGCTTTCTCTTGTGCTGCTCCCAACTTGTGGAGTGCATCCCCCTCAAGGTTGTGATCATTTCTCATTACTTTTAGGAATGGTATGAAGAAACATCTTTTGAAAGGATTTCAGTTAACGTTTTGATGTTTACTGACTATTGTGATTATTTTAGTGGTTTTATTGTCTAATTTGTTTTCTGTTTGTTTTTAATGGTGTTTTAAAAACTATTTTGAGTGCTTCCTTTTTAGTGGGAAGCTGTATAACAACATAAATAATGAAATAATTGGCCCATTTCTCCATAACATCAATATAACTGGTAGAAGTCCAACAGGTGACATGTTTTCTCACTGCTAAGAAGCCTGCTTTTTTATCATTGGACCTCTGTATAGGTAGTATAGCTGTTCAAGCTTTTACTTCTCATGTTACTGTTTGACCGTACCTTGAAAGAGAAATGGTAAAAGGTAGAAGAGGCTTTACAGAAGGAAAACAGAGTCATGTATCCATGAAACTTTTTTTGTGGCTAAGGACAAGGAAAGTGGATATGACTGTAGTGGCCTGATAGGCATATTGGTTTGAAATCTTTGTGCTTTAGAGATATTTAGTGGTCTAACCCAGAAGATTTCAACATGGTAGAATATTACTGGAGTACAGCTGCTTTAATATATATATACTGTGTGAGATTTTTCACCTGGATTGCTTTTAGAATAACACCCAAACGTAGCTAGCTGCCACTGTGTCCTGTGTTACCTGAGCAAACCTCAATTCCTAGACCTAAGAAGCACCTGCAGAAAAAGCATTTCTAATTTTTTTATCATGTGCCTCCCAACTTATGGAGATCCTATTGCGGGATTTTCTCAGCAAGATTTACTCAGAGGAGGCTTGCCACTGCCTTCCTCTGAGGCTGAGAGAGTGTGACTTGCCCAAAGTCATCCTGTAGATTTCTATGGCTGAGCAGGAATTCAAAGCCAGAGTTCTAGTCTGACGCTCAAAGCATTATACTGCTCTGACGCTCAATTTTGCTTTAGAAACATCTAATAATTGTATTGGAAGTTATTTTGGAAATAATACTTTAATCTGTTTTGAGATGCCAACAAATTCAGGTTCTTTTCCATGCATGGCTATCTTCCAAAGAGTGGAGAAGAAAGGCAGTCATATAGATTAGGTTTAGATATGCCTTCTCACCCCAGCCCCTTTAAAAAAGTTTAGGAAACACACCTCCAGTTACTTCTCAAGTTGATATGTCATCTTCTCTCTGTTGTTTTTTATAGGTCTCAATATTTGCACTAGTGGCAGTGCTACCTCCTGTGAAGAGTGCTTGTTGGTTCATCCCAAGTGTGCTTGGTGCTTTAAAGAGGTACGTTTTTGCTTTCCTTATATCTATATTTTATAATATACATTCATAATCCTTGGTCTGTCTACTATCAGTTTTTTGTTCTTTGTTTTTTGTTCAAGGTACACTTCTCACCAAAATATTTGATGAGATACTCTATTCTTGCATTAGTCAGAAAGAAACTGTGGGTTAGTGTAGCCCCATACCTCTGCCAGAAATTTTTCTGTTTCCTTTGAAAATTTTGTTTTGTCTCTAAAAAAGCTTTTCTTAAGTCAGAAGCTCATATTGCTTTGCAAACTATATTTTTAAATAACACTTATATTTTTTTTCCATATCAGTAGCAGTTACAGTAGAGAGGCATTTGAAGTAATGGTGCTGAAATGTTAATTTTGTGTATTTGTGGTTGTATTTATTTATTTAGTTTATATCTTGCCTTTCATTACATGATCCAGTTTTAGATTTGCAAGAAAAGTTTAAAGGAAAAATAATGACATCAAAAGTGTATATAGTACAGGAAAAGAGCAATGGCATCAGAAATATATAATTTCTTTCTGAGTATGTGAGATAACCAGATGCCTATAACCAAAGGCCTATCACTTTATTTATATTTCCTACACCTTTCAATTAGTGGTTTATTGTTAGCATTTTTACAATTTGGAATATTTACTATTAAAAAGAAATAAAGATAGAACATTTCTGTATGTGATATGAATGTAGTACAAAGGTTGAATTTGTATTCATGCTAATAAAGATTAGGCTAGCCAAGGATGTACTTTACTGTGATAATCCGTTAAAAAGTCCCTTGTTGTAGAACAGCATGTCTAGAACTTCTGAATTCATTTGGACTGAAATGCACACACTGGCTAAGGGCCCCTACGCCATATGATCTGTGGTGGAATTCTCTTTATTACTTCTTAAAATGATCTTTCCATTATTGAATCTTCTGTTTCTATACAGATACCTGTTCGTTAGGGTATAAAACACTGTTCAAGTAACCTGACTTGGACATTGTCATACTGATTTTGATAACATTTTCTAATATGTTGATTCTCAAAGATTATTTGACAACACAATCCTTTACATTTTGGGATATTAGCACAGTACAGTCACCCCTATTTTTTTGCAGGGGATCCGGACCCCCCCGCGAAAAAGGGAAACTGCAAATATTCAAGCCCTATTGGCTTGAATGGAGGCGTGTGCCCATTTTATGTCCCTCTGTTCATCCCTTGTGGATAAGCAAGGGTTGTGGACTTCAGTTCTGCAAAAACAGAGGGACAACTGTACTCCACTCTCTCCATTCTTTTTCAGATGGAATATGAAAATCTGTCACTATTTTGGTTCATCTATATTATTATTATATAATGTAATCCTATATATTTCTAGTTAAAATATGCTCCTTTGGTTCACTTTTGATGTATACAGTTGCCCCTCCATTTTCACAGACTTCAAGTCCGCATCCCTCGCCTGTTTGTGGGTGGGAAACAGAGGTGGATAAAATGGGGGAGCGCCCCCCCCATTCAAACCTATGGGGCTTGAATATTTGCAATTTTCCATTTTGGGGAGAGTCCGGAACAGATCCCTCATGAAAACAGAGGGGCAACTGTATAGCATTACAGCCTGTGCTAGGTTTCAGTACTTCAGAAAGCAGTGTAGTTGCAGTTTTCTCAGTTTCCTCCCATACTTAGTGCTTCTCCTTATTTTGTTGCACCTCCTAAATTTTCCAATTGAAGTATGATGGAAATTCTAGTTTCTGTCAGTACAGGACAGCCATCCTTTG